GCCCGGAGCGGCATTACTACGGTCGCGGCCTGGCGGAGCAGAGGACGAATTTGTCCAAGTCTGCCGACTTTCATATCCTGAACACAGTAAAGGGCCAGAAAACGTCCGCGGAAGAGCCGAAAAAACGTGGTGAGACTGCGTCTTGCTGGGCAGAAATTTACTAGCAAAATTCCGTCCCATCATTTATACGAAACGCTGAAGCTTCCTAGATTTGCATTTCATTGTCACGTTTATACTTAGGTATGTCTTCAGTTACCGTCCAACTGATTTACGGTGTTCAATTCTCACTGCTGTATCCATAAGCTCCTCCAATTGTTACTCGGACACCGCAGTCTATCGTACTAACTAGGTGGAGTCTCGGAGTTCTCAACAGCACTATAGATGCAATTTCAGCTTATCTACAGCACAGATTCCATGTGTTGTGTGTGTGCTCTGAAGGACCGATTTCAGCTCTAGCAGAAGACCCAAGCCCTTTTTACAAAAACACTGAACGCCAGCCGATCTTATAGAGGGGAACGGGCCGCATCGATTAGTATTGTTTGGGCGAAAACTCTCAGCGGCACTCTGCAGGATAAAATTAATTAATCGGCCGTCGTCGAGTAGTATCCTGGTCTCATCCGTCCTAGGATGATAGTTACTTTTTCATTACTCCATCCAACCAAAGGTTTCCCTGACAAACCCACTGTTACGTGTAGTGTATAATGTTAAGCCGCTTATCCTACTTGGTTCTGAGACATATTAGGCTTTTCCAACAGAGTACCAACTTTCTAAATTCACGTTGGTTGGTGTTTTCGTAATTTTTCTGTGCAGCTCTTTACATCTACACTCCAATCGGTAGCGATTTGTTCACAAACCGTCCATTGATGCGAAAACTTTGTTCACACAGCTCTTATTCATTCACGAAAGTCCTTTATGTATTTCGAACCTCTCTGTCTATTCACAACGCAGGCCGACCATCCCTCACCGGCCATATTCGGCGCTTATTAACAGTGGAGCTGGCTTGGTGACCACAAGAAATGATTGTTTAGGTTCTGGCTTGCGCCTCCCTGGTTAGGTGACGTAAGGACTATAGATAGAAGTAAAAACCATCTATATTTTGTTATATAGACAGATTACTTATAAAATAAATGACTTCTGACGGACTTTTTTGTAGATATAACATGTCACTCTGTCTCCAGTAGCAGAGATCATATTTGGGCCTTTTACTGGCAATATGCCTACTTGGCGGCTTTGGAATTTACCACATGGTTAAATTTTCGCAAACCCCATCAGTAAAAACAAGTTTGCTTGCTCTGAAGTGCCAATTGGATCGGTGCGTCTCGATTCCAGCATTTGCATTTTAAATAGCGTAGATGAATAAATGTACCCGAACCATCAATCTCTCCCCTGAGCTCCAGAATTGAGATATCTATAATCGCTAGTTCTGGCGTTGGTACTTATATACTTCATGAAAAATTCTTTAGTGAAGACTGTGTTCAAGAAAGCCAACTCGAATTAGACTGTCATTTGTTCCTAGGACAGCTACCTTCCTATCAGTTGTCTCCAATCCTGGCGCAACTTCCTACTAAGTTTGGTTAAGGAGGGTAAGTCTGTGTTGACCGTTCAAGGTTGACAGGAAAGTACAGAGAGTGACACCTGCTGCTATTCGGTAGCATTTGAATGGGAGTTCCGATGTTCAAGCTGTTGAAAAAAGTTTTGTTTCTAACCTTAAGCAAGTAGGGTCCCACACGCCAATCTTAATGCTAGGCCATTGCGGTGACAATTTCTGGTCCGCTGGTGTATCACTGTCGGCCATCTTTGCTGTTATGGTCTTAAGCGTGCCTAAACCCTGAGAACAGATTTTGAAAGTCTAAAGTTGTTGGCGCGATTGGCTGCACCGAGAACTAGATTTCGGGCACTAACGAACCCCTCAGCCGTCTTTCTCTGTTCCATAGCTTCCGCGCCGTCCGAGGCGACTTTTGCTCATCTCGAAAACGGTGGGTAAAATGGTTGGACCATTTGGCCCGCATGTGCACACTCACCTCTAGGTACTTGTGCCACGTCAGCCGGCGAACCCGTTATGTAGTGACTTTACTTCACAACGAGTTTATGGGGTGTCTTTTCGTCAGCATGATTCTCTGTTGTGCCCGCATTCGAAGGTGGACGCTTCCCCCCACCTCCCCAGCGCAACGAGTTAAAATTTCATGATAGTTCGGACGGCAGGTGAGGCCGTATATGATCGCGGACGACATTCGTCACGCTGTAATATTTCTGTGGCTGAAATCTTCGTAAAAATAAACAGTTTTCAAGTTAAGTGCGCAGCCCCACCTAAAGTTGATATCTCAGCATGGTCCGCAACCATTTTTTCGGAACCAGCCCTCGTTGAGGGCCGTTCCGGTATCCTCCGCACATTGGACGTTCACGTAACGGGCAGGCTTCCATTGTCCTACGTCTCAGACGCCATTAACGACAGTCACATCACTGAGAAACGGAGGTAGTTCCGAAACCGCACCGATACCCCTGATGCAATCAAACTTCACACCCAGCATATGGCGTTTTCCCGAGAATTGTGCGAGGCTTTCGCATGCTCTCACTCGTTTATCCTCGTATAAGTCTCTCTCAACTCCGAATCAACTCTAGCGTCGAATTTAATTTGGAAGTGCAAAATTTTCCTTTCAGTTAAGGGCAATAAAAGTAATTGCATTCTTTTGTTAGATGATGAGATGTTGACTCGCCTCCCGAACAGCTTCGATCAACGCTATTTCAAAATGAATGCGCTGACTGTGTTTTCACAGTTAGCGTCTTTTATTTTCCTCCGTCCCACTTATGTGATAGCACGATTAGGTTAGGTGACTTGCACCATCATGAAGAATGTGTAGTCAAGTTTGTTGTCTGTTTGGAAATAAGTGAAGTAATAAGTTCTTGTGACGGTCGGGTAGTCCCTTTGCCAGTGCGGCGCACTTAATCCTTTCGTTGAGGATGCTTCCGCCAAAAATAATAGCTGGAGAAGTCTCAGTCAATGCCATATTTACGTGTCTTCCGTCCTACTGACGAAGTCGGTGACTCTAAGCAAAACGACGTTCCCACTCGTCGATCAATATGAGCTGTAGACTGTTGATTTTACGGGCCTCCAGTTAACCTTGTCATTTCTCCGTTCTGTCCTATCAAAAGGTTCAACCGCACTGCTTCAATGGTTTGTCCGCCGCATCCGTCACCTCCGTCAAAGCATCAAGCGTCGCCCGCAAGAACCTGATTTGCATGCATCCTCTACGGCGACCTTTCCCATATTCTACCAAAATTCCAACTTCATACCTCAGTCTGCAGCGGGTAAGGCACAGATGCAGCTAAAACAGCCTGGACAAAGCAAAACAACGATGATGCAGGGTCTGGGCCGACTGGAGAGGTTCTGTTCTGCCGAAAGTCCTCGCACCTACTTGATAGGCGAGCTGGAGTCCGGCACCAACAGGTCCGCCTCATACTGCTCCCAGACCTGTAGCAACCTCCGGCGTTGTTTAAGTCTGGCTGAACATCAAAAACCTTCTTATGACTACATATCCAAGCCACTGG